TTTTATACACACGTAGATACGATTCAGCCGTTAAAGTTATTAAAGCATTATAGACTTTGTTATTTAACGACTTGGCCAGCTTTTCAGTCAAAGCATTTCCAATTTAACACGACAGAGGATTTGCGTGCACCAATAATTAGANAAAAAAAAAAAGTGAAGTGTGATATTTCAAATAATTTTGTTTCAAATATTTAAAACATTTCTGCTTTTATTTTTTAACATAACAGTGTATTATGAGCGAATTAGTGAAATATTAAGATGAGTTAATCGCAAAATTGGGGAAACGTGTGGCAAATAGGAGAGCGAGGTATTGAACAATGGCATGGTTGGTAACACAATAAAAGTGGGCCCTCGGACAGTTGTGACGATTAGTGGCCGACTTCTGCTATAACCACTGGTACACATAGCCACCGACAGTTGATTACGCGCAAAATAAATGATTTGGAATCCATTACGGTATTACAAATCTTGTCAACACTAGGACTAATGAGAAATAATAACCCACACATAGAAGACCTCTCTCCACATTAGCACCGGTTAGGAGGCGCACTCCTGCGCGTGGTGTCGCCGTGACGATACTGGGTAGCGCTCTGCCGGGTGACGAAGTGATGCACGCCGGGAGCTGGTGGTGTAAGGCGGACAGACCGGGCCGCTGGTGTGTTGTGGAGCACCGACACGGCCTTAGGTACACCACCCCGAGAGGTGTGCCTCCGTATGTGCTACTAGTGTTTTGGTTTCGGTAATAAATGTTTCGTTAAAGTGATTAGTTTCAGCGGTATAATGCATTTAACAAAACATGGCCTATCCAGAGACATGTTTGCCTTGCGCCTCACTGTTTCCATTGCACTCCGAAGGCGTCAAAATCCGTTCATAAAACGTTTCTTAGGTCATTTTATGTTGGCATCACGTGTAATAGTTTAAATTTATGTCTCAATTTAGCGAGCTATCGTGCCATAGGCGCTGGCACCCCCCCATCCAATCCAGAAATGTAACTTAAAATTATCAATAAACTAAGACTTTTTCGTACATAATAAAATTTCAATATTAGTTTATCTTGCATTCAAATTTCAAATTAGATAAAAGAAACATTATGGAGGATATGTGTGCGGCTTTAAGACGCTATGAGCCTGACAATAAGGTCAGTGTTCTTCCTCATTTCTGAGCAACACTTCCCTAACGTGACAACTTATGATATTTTTATCGACAGGCTAATACGCATTATAGGAATCTAATTGTTCTGTAAAATTACTTGTCAAAGCGCGGCCACTGGTTACAATTTTTATCTAGCACGTATTATTAGAGATGTTATCGAAAGTTTACACTCCTTCAATTCGATATTACAATTTTATGATAGATGTAATTCTATTAAGTGAGAAAGGGAACAATGTGGAAAATGCCACTTATTGTTTTATTATCGTGAGGCCTGTTCGCTGTGCGAACGTCGGCCCGTGATTTACTATCAAATCATGTACGTGTACTTTCAGAAAACCACTATCACAATATTGTTATACATATGATCCTAACAATACTTAGATACAAGTCCCTTGACTACTGTTAAACACCAGTCCCTGGAAATACTGTTATAGATAAAACCCTGACTATACTTTTATACATAGTCCTTAAACTACTGTTAAACACCAGTCCCTGGAAATACTGTTATACATAAAACCCTGACTATACTTTTATACATAGTCCTTAAACTACTGTTTAACACCTGTCCCTGGAAATACTGTTATAAATAAAATCCTGACTATCATTTTATACATAGTCCTTTAACTACTGTTAAACACCAGTCCCTGGAAATACTGTTATAGATAAAACCCTGACTATACTTTTATACATAGTCCTTAAACTACTGATAAACACCTGTCCCTGGAAATACTGTTATAGATAAAACCCTGACTATACTTTTATGCTTGTACGTAGACCCTAAAATACTACTGAACATTTATTCCGTCTTTGCGTATTGCAGAGTTATCTGCTTTTGAGAGTAGGCATTGATTGTTACGTCATTTGTTTGTGAGAGTAACGTCATTAATTTTGAGAAAACGACGTAATTTTCTCACACAAACCAATGACGTAACAATCAAACATGCTCACAAGAGAAGATAACTCTGTAATACGCAAGGACGGAATAGTAACCTCATGACAATATTGTTACATATATGATATATGTGGTTTTGACGATATTGTTTCACATGAGTTCATGACAATACTTTTATTTGAGATGTTGACAATACTTTTTATTTGAGCTCATGACAATACTGTTATATACGATTTGTTGACAATATTGTTTACATAAGCTATTGGAATATTCTGTTATATTTGAGTTTTTAACATTATCTCATGAGGTGATGACAATACTGATGTTATATATGAGATTTTGAGTAAATGTTTCACACAAGCTCATGACAATACTGATGTTATATATGAGTTTTTGAGTAAATGTTTCACACAAGCTCATGACAATACTGTTGTTATATATGAATTTTTCACTAAATGTTTCACACAAGCTCATGACAATACTGTTGTTATATATGAGTTTTTGACTAAATGTTTCACACAAGCTCATGACAATACTGTTGTTATATATGAGTTTTTGAGTAAATGTTTCACACAAGCTCTTGACAATACTAATATATATGAGCTTTTGATAAATATTTTTAAATAAGGACAAGAAGAAAATGTATATAGACACTGTCAGCCTGAATCCTGACACACCACAAGGTGTTTTGATCAGGACAGTGTTCGATGCCATCTACTACTGCTGTAGACACTAGAGAAAACCTGCGCAGCGGCACTTGGAAACGTCCGATTTTGAAGAAAGGATGACTCCAATTGGCCTAAATATGACATATATATGTCTTAAAAAACAAGGAACAGTAAAACCGAAGAGGCTGGAGTTTGTACGTTCGCAACCATAGGTTGAACACTTGTTTGTAGCTTCAATAAACAATTTTTGATACAAATTAATGTTGATTTGTATTTATTAAGTTTTAGTTCTCCAGTAACATGCATGTACTAAGACTGTTATCTTTTTGTGTTGTTTGGGGAGACCTCGCCTGACGGCCCGGTTACTATTACTTCCCAGACAACACTATCAGAGAACAGTGCCCTATATATTGTCCCCGAAGGACACGGTCACATTAGATTAACATATTACTCTTTTTAGCAATTTCAATCTGACACTGTTCATAATTAAAATAACAATTTCTCGGATTTAAACATATGGAAATAAATGTATGTAATTGTGATATCATATGAGTCCGATGTTGGCAAATGGGCACCAACCTAAAAAAAAGTATATGTTTTTGACGCTCTAAGTTGTTACAGTCTCAGTGTTAAATATAGTTTCCCTTAAACATTATTTACAGTGCGATTGACCCGTTCTAGCCACCTCGTTAAAATATTGAAGTATTCCTCTTTATTAGTGACGGGAAATCATAAGAAACGTTCTTTATTTTCCAGTTCTTTAAAATCAGTCCACGTCATCAGGTGCCCCGAAAGGGTAAACGTCTTGTCATCTACCATGCAAGTCTTAGTCAAATCAAAGCTAAGTCATGTCCTCAAAGTCGAAATTTTCGAATTGACAATAAATCCACAAGGCACTGTAATCTGTAATGAACTTGACCCCCCGCCCCCCCTCCCCCTCCAAATATCATTGTTATATCGCACAATGAAAAAGAATATTTTCCAATGAGATCATAATGTCGATCACAGACCCAGTCTATAATGCCTGTCCTGTAGTTGTCTGTCAGCATTCATTGAATACAACTATGTAGGCACAGCAGTTTGTAACAAAGGTATTTTTACATAAGTATTAGTAAATAAGAACTTGTTGCAAATTAAGTAATTCATCTGCATCTGGATAACTTTCCAACTATGTCAACCTGGCTATGGAAAATATGATACTTCTACTCCTATAATATATGAAAACATCTTATTCAAAAATATTATCAAGTGAGTGTTTTGCAAAACAATATGGCTATAATCTAAATACTTGCTAAAAACTCCAGCAGAGTAAATTGATTTAAAGTATGCAGTAAATCTGGGACCCAGGGCAGAGGAAGGATACTATCAAGTGGATTGATTGATGAATTATTAAACTTGTGCTATTTCTACAGAATGCCTCCAAATTATACCAATGACCTCGTAAAACAAAATCTAAATTTAAATAAACAAACGACCGACAACGATATTTGTACATGGAAATAAATAACACAATGTTTATTCTGTACATGGTAATCTTAGAACCAAACGTACGATTATGATGTTTGTACATTGTAATTATCACCGCTCTTGTGACACTGAAAACGAATCAGAATGTAGGACGTATTTTAATGTCCTAATTTTCTATATTACACAATGTCCCTTTTCGTAATAATTTCTTTATAAGTCTTCCTCTAAGTGTCACGAAACTCTTTCACAGCGCAAAATGTTGCTAATAAAATGGTGACAGTATAAACTTATTTTACTCGATTTCAATATGGCATCGGTCTCCAGAAGACATTTGAGATCTCTTTCTAGCCTTTATATCCTTCTTCGTACCAAGTCCTTCATGGCAGTGTTTCCTCTATAGGTAAAGCATTGGCTCTGTGTGTTGATGTTTAACTGTTTAGCATTTTGGTATTTTTATTTACACGTACTTACGTTGTGTAGTTCATGTCTTCTCCAGTATATTAACGTACAGCAGTTGTGGTTTGGTTTTAATAGGGTTGACGTCATATTAACAGCCAATGTCATTAAAGTAAATACAGAGAAGTGGAGGTCACCATTCTTACAGCATATACAACGTACTAATCGTGTTCACAGGTCTCGCTTTCGATGGATTTTTTTCCACTGTTTTCCCACTCCCCGTTGTTGTTTAACATGTTTTCCCACTCCCCGTCGTTGTTTGAGGTGTTTCCCCGCTCCCCGTCGCTGTTTGAGATGTTTTCCTTCTCCCCGTTGTTGTTTAACATGTTTTCCCACTCCCAGGTGGTGTGTGAGATGTTTTCCCACTAGATGTTTTCCCACTCCCCTTCATTCTTTGAGATGTTTTCCCAATCCCCGTCGTTGTTTGAGGTGTTTCCCCGCTCCCCGTCGCTGTTTGAGATGTTTTCCTTCTCCCCGTTGTTGTTTGTCATGTTTTCCCGCTCCCCGTCTTTGTTTGAGATGTTTTCTTCCTCCCAGTTGTTGTTTGAGATGTTTCCCCACTCTCCGTTTTTATTGAGATGTTTTCCCACCCCCCGTTGTTGTTTGACATGTTTCCCCACTCCCCGTCGTTCTTTGAGATGTTTCCCCCCTCCCCGTTGTTGTTTGGGATGTTTTCCCACTCCCCGTCGTTGTTTGAGGTGTTTTCCCACTCCCCGTTGTTGTTTGACATGTTTTCCCACTTCCCATTGTTGTTTGACATGTTTTCCCACTCCCAGTTGGTGTTTGAGATGTTTTCCCACTCCCAGTTGTTCTTTGACATGTTTTCCCAATCCCAATTGTTGTTTGAGATGTTTTCCAACTCCCCATTGTTGTTTGAGACGTTTTCCCACTCCTCGTTGTTGTTTGATATGTTTTCCCATTTCCCATTGTTGTTTGATATGTTTTCCCAATCCCAATTGTTGTTTGAGATGTTTTCCAACTCCCCATGATTGTTTGAGACGTTTGCCCTCTCCTCGTTGTTGTTTGATATGTTCTCCCACTTCCCATTGTTGTTTTACATTTTTTCCCAATCCCCATTGTTGTTTGCCATGTTTTCCCACTCCCCGTCGTTGTTTTCCCATTGTTGTTTTACATTTTTTCCCAATCCCCATTGTTGTTTGCCATGTTTTCCCACTCCCTTTGTTGTTTGAGATGTTTCCCCTCTCCCCGTTGTTGTTTTAGATGTTTATTTTCTCCACGTTGTTGTTTGAGACGTTATTGTTGTTTGACATGTTTTTCCACTTCCCATTGTTGTTTGATATGTTTTCCCACTTCCCATTGTTGTTTGACATGTTTTCCCAATCCCC